AAGTTGTTGCGTTCTTTATTTAATTCACGGACCGTATTCTAATAATTTTTCAGTAATGACCGAATTCAAACGCTCAGATTTTGTATTTTGGACAATTACATAAAATTTGCATTTGATAATAACGAAATGAGGTAGGTTCCCAGAAAAAAAATATATATATATGTGTGTGTGTGTGTGTGTATGAATGCATAAGTGCATGAGTAAGTGTGTGTTTGTGCATGTGAGTGTGAGAGAGTGTCTCCAAGCATTTACCATACATACGTTTATGTTTTTCCCCCTGATATTCATATTATACGTCTTGTTTTATGAACACAACATGATTTATTGATAAAATGTAATTGCTGTATAAAAGATGAGAATTTGAAAAGACCAAATGTAGAACAGGCCTGCTTGGCCAATATGTGACCCTTAGAAAATACGGCTCATTCGTTCGTTGTTGACTACCATGTGTGGTTCAAATTCTTCTACATTTCTCGACTCATCAGAGTCACTGGAAATCAGTTTTTCGTATTAGCAACCCATAGGAATAATTAAACAAAATAGTTTTGTTTTTTAAATCACTATTTGCACGGAGATGCTTACTGATGCCGGTTCTTTATTAATATCCTACTCCAGATGACGTCACAGAACAGTCCAACATTTTTAAGGGTGATAAGACTGGGTTTCCCGGCTTTCTGATGCTTTTAACAACGCCAAAACATCTAGAATTGGCCCTAAACCCAACCCATCTACGTCCCACGAGAGAGTATAGCCTAGGTCCTACGACTGCATGTAGTCTAGATCCCACGGCTGCATGCAACCTTATCTACCACCCCCTGAAATATTAGACTGTTCCGTGACCTGTGGATTTCCCGTTTGAGATAGGATTTTAATAAAGAACCCCGATGCCACCTGCACTTGACCATTTGGAGAATGTCCAACATTTAGAGATGTAAGGCAAGCAAGCCGCTAGATAGCGTAAATTATTATAATCGCGAGATACTTTAAATAGATCACTTAAATCACTAGGTACTTTACGCAGATTGTTTTAATCATGAGGTACTGTACATGGTTTCTTTAATCATGAGGTGTTTAACGCATTTCTTTTTTTTTTTTTTTTTTTTCATGAGTTACATAGGCACATTGTTTTAATCAAGAGTTAGTTTAGGAATTATGTTATAATCATGAGGTACTTTACGCTAATTGATTCAATTACGAGGTACTTTAGATATATTGTTCTAATCACGAGGTATTTTGGGGATGTTTTAATCGAGAGGTACTTTGCGCAGACGATGTTAATAATGAGGTACTTTAGTTGTATTGTTTTAATTATGAGCTACTTAACACACGTTGTTTAAATCATGAGATACCTTACGCAAATTGGTTTAATCATTAAGCACTTTAGACACATTGTTTTAATCATTAGGCTCTTTAGACATATTGTTTTAATCACGAGGTACTCTCCGCGTATTGTTTTAATTGTGAGGTGCTTTAATTATATTGTCTTAATCATGAGGTGCGTTGGGCAGATTGTTTTAATGTCGAGCTATTTTACGTATATTGTTTTAATCATGAAGTACGTTGGGCAGATTGTTTTAATGTCGAGCTGTTTTACGTATATTGTTTCAATCATGAAGTACGTTGGGCAGATTGTTTTAATGTCGAGCTGTTTTACGTATATTGTTTTAATCATGAGGTACGTTGGACAGATTGTTTTAATGTCGAGCTATTTTACGTATATTGTTTTAATCATGAAGTACGTTGGACAGATTGTTTTAATGTCGAGTTTTTTTTTACGTATATTGTTTTAATCACGAGGAACATTGGGCAGATTGTTTTAATGTCGAGCTATTTTACGTGTATTGTTTTAAAGATGAGCTACTTTAGGTAGAATGTTCTAATCAGGAGCTACTTTAGGCAGATTATTTAAGTCATACTGTACTTTGCATATATTGTTTTAGTTTTTCAAACCATGAGTTACTTTACAGATTGTTTTAATTAAAAGGTATTCACGCTGACTAAACAAACCTGGAGTTGGCAGAAAAGCCACATTTCTCTCAGATTTACGCTATTTTTCATGAAATCAAAGCCGAAGGGATGCGAAATCCAAAGTACGGAGTCATAGGGTTAACAACTCATGGTTTCTGGATATTTACACACACACAAAACATGAGATACTTTACCCAGGTTGTTTTATACATAGGTACTTCAAGCATACTGATTTTGTCTGAAGGTACGCATAAATAAACATGAAGGTAGAAGGTCTGACTGAAGGTAGAACCATCATTCTTTAGAATACATGCAAAAAATAAATTGTGTACCGTGTGTAGGTGACGTCAGTGTTAGATTGCAATGCTGACTGTTTGTATGAGATTATTCGCTATTACAGTGAAACGTAAATAATTTCAGTGGTCAGGCTTGTTGTTGGGATTGTGTTCAAATCATATTTATTTATTGTTTTAGTTTTAAATTAAGATTATTATGCTTTTCAAAAATCTAATTTTTAACTTTCTATGTAAGAGGCTTATTACTCTTCTTTTAAAATTCTAACTTGTTCTTTATCTTGACTTTTTTTTTTTTTTTATTTATCGAACATATCCTGTTAATATTAGAACTGGAGTTTATCTATTATTTTTTTTTTTAATTATCTTTAGCAACTCTGGTTTTTAAAACTAATAATTCTTTGTTTTTATTTGTTTCTTCACAAACTGGTCGACTAAAATGTTGACACTTCTTTTTTGAACGTTGTGTGTGTGTGTGTTTGCGTGTGTGTGTGAGGATGTGCGTGTGTGTGTGCGCGTGCGCCTGTGTGTGAGTGTATGTGTGTGTATGTGTGTGTGTGTGTGTGTGTGTGTGTGTGGTTGTTCGTGTCTAGTTTCATAATGCACCGAATGGTTGGAGCGTATTGGTTAAGATTTCCTACCCAAGAGATCTGAGTTCGAATACTTTTGGGGACGAATGTTTTAATTTGACATTGACTGGCAAGTAATCTCAGCCTGAAATAGTTATACCAGATTATGAAGTACAAGATAAAAACGAGTGACGTCAAGTTGACAATGTCTCCTCCGAATCCTTTTGGAAAAAAAAATTGAAAGGTCGACCACTTTCAGACTGCTGCTAGCTACCTTTCGCACATCTATATTCCCACTTTCCTCTCCATATGTGACCCCTTGCCATTCGTCTACTTACATCTTGTCATATGTATCCATCCTATACATAAATGCACCCATACTGCACGCACTCTTTCTTGTGTGTCCAAACGTACTCATATCTATGCATCCACCATACTTACATTACCTCCCTTACGGTAGGGTGTCTGGAGTCACAACCTGACCTGCTCCTTCTGTTGTTTAGAGCTGTTTTTCAACCTAGTCTTTTTAGTTTTGGTTTGTTTTGATAAGATAATGTTTAACAATTTTTGGATGTCTGTATTGCCATTCACCTTTAAACATGTGTTTGCAGTAATCTGTTGTCCGTGTTTTAGAAAGTACTCCTCCATGCGTTTCCTCTCCAATTTGTATCGTCGCTTATGAAATGCCGTGCTATGATCTAAAGATTCGGCCGTACCAAGCGGCATGAGCAGCGAATTTAAAATGGAGTTTGAACTTCTGATCTGACACAACGAGCCTTCTAGGGGCAGCATTTCGAAGACGTGCATCACACTGAGAAAATCTGCAACACGGGACTGTTGATTAGTATTTTTTAAATAGGTCTTGCACCATATCATCATCATCATCCTCATCATCATCATCATCATCATCATCATCATTATCATCATTATCATTATCATCATTATCATCATTATCATCATCATCATCCTTTTTAAGTGCCTTACCAGCTGGCGTTGGCGTTCATGCGTCGCCACAGATCTTGGTCTTTGGTGTTATGGATCAATTACACTGATGATATTCTTCCTTGCCACTGCCTTAAGCCATCCACCGTTATTTCTCTTGGTCTGCATCTGCCTCTTCTACCAGTGATTTTTTCAGTCGTCACAATATTTTCCAGCGCTCTTTTTCTCATCACATTACCAAAAAAACTGTGTCTCCTTCTCCTCGTTGTACAAAATGCACCATATGCCTTTTGAAAATATATGTCAAGCCTTGAATGCCCTATACGGCACTGGTGTATATAAGAAACCTTTACTTTTTTACAAAACGCCTGAAGTGTCAGTGTCGTGAAATTGATCCTTTGCTTTCCATACGCATCCAAGAAAAATGGCCTCGCCAGCTTATCAAGAAGTAACCATGAATAAATTACTGTTCGAAATGACTCTCAGTGTACCAGTTATATTTTGGAGGGTATTGAATTCGCGTTATGACATAATAAGTAGTTAACGTTGATAGTTTTCGTAGTCAAGCCTTATGGAAGCTTCAGGAACTGTTTCTGTTATATGCTGTTTCTGTTGGTATTTGTGTGCAAGTATCGACTAAAATATGATGAAACGGGCAAAAGGCAAATCGTCTTCGGATTATTCTCAAATGACAACTAATTTCGTACAATTCATGCCCGGAGGAGGAGGAAAGTCAGCAAATTCGCTATTGGAGAAGCGAAAATGTACACTAGTATTTGTATTACTTATTTTCATTTCCTTTTACTCGTCTTTAACTTCTGCTGAACTGCAAAGGCAGCCAGTCAGCAACAACGAATGGCCGTCGGAATTGAAATTCGGAATAATTTTGCCATATAACCAAGAGTATGAATATAACATGAAGAATGTCTACCCAGCTATAGACATCGCTTCAGAAACACTCCTGAAGCGACAATACCTTCCAGCAAGCATCAAAAGCATCCGTTTGAATGAAGCCGACTCCAGATGCTCTGAGACTTACGGACCCCTAGCAGCTATCAAGATGTTCAAAAACCGCCAAGCCGATGTCTTCTTTGGTCCGGCTTGTATATGGGCAGTGTCCCACGTGGCTTCTTACAGTAGACACTGGAATATTCCAGTTCTCACCACAGGAGGGTTTGTCAGGGAGTTGGACGATAAACAAGAATTCGGGTTTTTAACTCGCATGCAGACCACATCTACGGATCTCAGTAAAGCTTTTGAATGCATCTTTGACAAATTCCATTGGTGGAACATTGGATTTTTTTCTGAAGATAACCCCAGCGATTGCTACCATACACTGTATTCAATTTTTTTAATGGTGAAGAAGCGGTACAAGAAAGACTTATACCATCGGTATTTAAGAGACAATGATATCAAGGTTTTTGAGGGTCATCTTAAAGAAGCGCAAAAGATGGTCAGAAGTAAGTATGCTATCGTATATCCAATGATCTTTATTCTTCTTTGTCTTTAGCTGCTAATACTCTTTCCCAGCCAGAACAGCAGGGTACACAAGAGCAGCACTGACCTGATTTACTGTTGTATATGCCCGGCTCCCTAGCGTAGTTGGCTAAACAGGATTGCGCGGTGACCGGGTGACGAACTCCTTTTGGTCCGGGCTCACTCCAAAGGTAGGCAGAGAAGCCACATGTCTCCCATATTTACGGTATTTTACAATGGAATCAAGGCCAAAAGCTTGCGATATCCATAATACCGAGCCTGAGGGTTAACAACTCATGGCTTCTGGATACTAAAACTAACCCCAAAAAACATGTTGTATATAGCGAGCCGCTACGAAGAAATCATTGCGGTTAGGGGGCATCAAGGGATCGTAGTGGGGCAACTCCCCCCCCCCCCTTCCCTCCCCGACAGCCACATCAAACCGACTTCCCCGAGCCCAGGTAGTTGTTACTTCAACACTATCTAGCTATTGTACCTTGCAGTGGTGGTTCCCAAATAGATGAGAACTCCGACCACTTTTATTTGTGGACGCCATACTTTTCACTAGCCATATTTAGAAAAGCATTATTCCATATCAGAACTGTAACAAAAACAACAACAACAACAAAACCGAAAAAAGGAGGGTTGAAAGTGTTGTTTTTTTTCCAAACGATATCATGGACCTTTTAGGTTTGTTCCCGTGATCGCCGAGGGTCCACGATCCATTCAACTGTAATCATTGCCTTGGAGCAACAGTCTATAGTGTTATGAAGTAGGGGAAACAAATTAGAGATTTGACATAGAAGGTGCGTGTTACAGTAACAGCTTTGATAGAATTGCCTGATATGACAGAAAAATAAGTACGGGAAAGGTACAGAAATGTGTGCCATATAAAGTGGAACGAGTGAACGTATCGAGACCCACCCAAAATCGACTTGACGGCGGAACAGCCAGTCCAACGATACGGAGCGCGGCACAAGACCAGCCAGTTAAAAACAGCCAAACGAGAGGAAGCCACGAAAAACCCCGAGCGACAGAACACTGAAAGCGCAATCCAAAACCAGATGAGATAAGGACCATAAGCGTCAGCACAAATACAACGGACAGGGCAGAGAGCAGCAATGTTTTCTGACCTAGCTGAAAGTGGTCAACGTTAAATGAAGAAGAAGAAGAAGAAGAAGAAGAAGAAGAAGAAGAAGAAGAAGAAGAAGAAGAAGAAGAAGAAGAAGAAGAAGAAGAAGAAGAAGAAGAAGAAGAAGAAGAATAGAAGAAGAACGTATTGTGAGTTCCCTAGTACTTCTTAAAGTTGTTGCTGAGTGGCGATGTAATCAGGTATATCTACAACTCCCTGTCTCATATGCGTTAAGCCAATTCTGATATAGATGATCTTTCATGCTATCCACATCATACTGTCAAACATCTTCTCTCTCGGTCTCCCTCTGCCTCTTTCCCTCCCAAATTTCCGACCGTCACGATCTACTCAAGTGTTCTCCCACCCATGACATGACCAAAGTTGACTGACTCTTTCTGATGATGTCAATCAGTTCTCTACGTTAGTCAGTTTCTTTCAAGACATTTTTCTTACTATTTTTGTCGTATTAAGGTGTTCTCATCATTCGTATATAAAGCCGCATCTCCGCCGCTTCTAAATAATGTTTCACCAGTTGCCCTACTGTAGATAATTCACTTCCGTATTTCAGAATATGATTTATATATCTCTTGAGATTTTTCTGTCTGACGTTAATGAAATGATGCATTTGCTGGAGCTTTTCTACATTTCACTTCTTTAAAAAATCTTCTATCTGTTGTTATCAGCGTACGTAACTACCCTCGTGATGCTTGAGTTAATAGGTTAGTTGCATATCCTTTACAGGACGTTGCAGAACCAACCCCAGCAGCCCCTGGCTGTTGTGTGGTTTTTCTAAACAAATTTACTCCACTAGTTTGCCATTGCTGTCTGGACGGTCGGCCCCCTAATACCACTGTCGAAACCAACGCAAGGCACATGGCCCGTAGATGGGATCGAACCCGGCACATCGGCATTACGAAACGTTCGCATCGACTTAGCCACAGAGCTGACGAACAGGAGTTAATGAAATGTACAATTGAGACGGAAACATGGCTTTAAGTTTTAATCACATGACAGTATTTAAGACTAGGTAAATGAAACTGTTGGGGGGGGGGGAGGGGGGGGGGGGGGAACATGGTCCATTGAAAACTCAATGTTTTGGTAGGACAGCTATTGGTACTAATAATTCACAATATTATGACAATACCCACTCAAATACCTGCTTCCGAAAAAAATATAGTCTTATAGTAGCATAATCAGCAAAGTTACGGATTGCTTTCGGATACTATTACCCCAGATGTGTAACTATTGCCGGTTGCTTTCAGATAAAAGCTAACCAAAACGTGTAACTATTTCTGGATCATGCAGTAAATACATGCAGTACGACACAACCTCTTTATTTTGGCACAAAAGTGCACATTTCTTCTTCTTAAAGTAGCCAGAACAGCATTAGAACTAATGTACTTTAGTCTTAATGTACACCCACAGCTTTCTGCCCATTGAGTTGGGAATTCTTTCCGGTATATGTGTTTCATTAGTGTTATCTTGTCAATCAATCCACCAGCATCTCTCTGGGTCCCCCCGTGCATGTCTTCCTCTCGTGCCTTGTAGGTGTCCTGTTGTCACGAATCTTTCCAGTTCATGGACTGTCTAAAGAATTTATTTACCTTGGCAACTTCTGTTACGATAAACTTAGTCTATTGGTTATTTTTCAAAACATTATCATTAGTAACTATTTTCTGTGTGTTCACGATGTTCTCTGCCATCTTCCATACATCTTTTTTTTAACAACGTCTTCTACAAATGTGAAATATTTATGTCCACGCCATGTGACGTATTGTTTGTATATTCTTCTTCTTCGGCATTCCGAGCCCTTGAGGCTCATTGCTGCAGATATCACCCGCTCACCTCATCTTTCTGGTTGGCCTTCTCTTTTTAGTTGGTGACACCAAGTGTTTGCATGTTTCTCTTGACATTATCTCTATCGTCTTCTTGGTTATTTTATTTTCGTAGTCATAATACTGTGATGTGGTTAAACGTGTAGCGATATTTCTTCTTATTTCTTCTTCTTCTTTGTCGTCTCACTGAAACCTAGTTGCATGTCCAGTGTCGCAGTTTTCTGTATTTGTCTTGCGATTCTCGGTGGCTTGGGTAATGGATTTGTTCATCTTTTTGCAGGATTTAGCTACTCTCTTTTTACTTCTATTTTTTGGTCTTCCTCTTGTCTCGTTCTTTGGTGCTCTGCTGTAAAAAATCTCATATACAGTTTGATCTGGCGGCATTCTCATTAGATGACCGAACAGTGTGTGTGTGTGTTTTTTTTCTTTGTCTGTCAATATAAAGCAGACATTTTCTTATTCCAACCTTCTCTCTCAAATGCTGGTATACATAACCTTCTCCCTTTTTGTGTTCTTAGTAACCTTGCGGAGATATCGTATTTTACATGTAGTTATTTATGTTCTAGTGCTCTATTCGTTGTCCAGTTCTGGAACTGACAGCATAAAGTACGACGAATTTACTGTTAATAGTGTGCTGCTTCTCTGGAAGGGAGACATTTAGGTGTCTTAGCAATGGGGCTAACTGGTAGGTGACAGCATCTGTCTTTTGCACTATGGCTTCCATTTCTCTGTCGAGTCTGCCATCCTCTATATATATGCTTCCTCGATATATGAATTCCCGTACTATTTTTTTTTACTGTAGTACCGTTGACATGAATGTTCATGCTTTTACGTTTCCTGCCTATTCCCATGTCTCAGCTTTCGATGTGTTTATTTGTATGTCATACTTTGTGCAGGTTTAATGCAAGGAGTCAGAATGGTGTTGTATTTCTGTTCTTAATGGTGTATTAGACACTGATTGTTTACAAAAAAGAAGGTCATTGATTTCTTGAGTGTCTGAAAATGCCTCCAGTGTAATTCTACCCATGTAAGTAATGAACAGCTACGGGGAGAGGACGCATCCCTTTGTGTACGTTTCTTTTCTGTACATTAAATTACCTCCTACAGCACCCAGGTAGCTTGGTACCCCGATAGCAGCAAATGGAAGATTTATTAAAGAAGTGTAATTTAGACCAGCTTAAGCGTTGGTCGTACGTAGTGTAGGCATTTTCTTATGTTTTCCAATTAACGAATCATTTCTGATACAGTTATTATCTTGTCAAGCTTTCTAGCATCTTCTATATGAAACCTCTCATGTCCTTCTTTCCGCTTTTGCCTTCTAAGTTTACTATTGTTTTGCTACTCTCTGTCATGTGGCATGTCTTAAGGATATGAATGGACTGCTTTTCTTACTCCTGCTTCTGTTCTGTATCACCCTGGGGAGCAAAAGGCTTCAAAGAAAACATGCCAGGGTGCCTTATCCTTCGCTGACGCCTTTAGCTCACTATATTTTCTTTATTTTGTTTAACATTATCTAATTCCTCCTCGATTTGCTCGCGCGCGCGCGTGTGTGGGTTTGCGTATGTGTGTGTGTTGTCTGTCTTAACTGCTGTGGTCCTGTGGGTTCCAGTGTAAGAACATTGTAGTTATACTAGGTTTCTAAGGGGGAGTTATATATATCCAAAGTCTTTCTCTCGCCTCCTCATTTACTCTAATTGGTTTAGTTTTCTCCCACTGTTTCACATAAGTAATTATGTCTTACATATTTATTCCTTCTATTTCTGATACCGGTAAATCATAAATAGATTTCTTCTATTTTCACTGCCTATTTTTGTGATTTTTCTTTTGTATATTCAATAGTCACTTTCTGAACCGACGATTTGACAGAATTTAAATAGATATCGCCTTCAGCTACACTGGCAGTGACGCAAGCGTTCGCCTGGCTCGAAACACAAAACTACAACCGCGTATGTATACTCGGTGATTCAATGAGTGTGATCCAGAGGGTTCAGGCAGGTTCGGTGCGAAGACAATGGCTTGAATCATTACAGACTGAAGTCCACTGTGCGTGGAGTCACCTTTATTTTT